CACAAAATAAACAAGAAACACATTTTTCAGTTTACATAGATGGGAGACAATTCGAAAAACGACGCGTTGACCTGACCAAAATCGCATTTTACATTTTAGCAGAATACACAAAGACACAAAAAGAAACACATTTTTAGTTTATATATAGGTGGGAGACAATCATTATCAAATATTAGCAAACATCCACGTAAGGTAAAAAATCGCGCGTGTATAGTTCGACGCGTAAGCCTGACTAAAATCGCAGTTGACATTTAAAAAATAATTGATCAAACCATCCCAGCCCCTTCGAATAATATCAACTAAAACACCTAATCACATGTCTACGTTTAAGCAGAATACACAAAATAAACAAGAAACCCATTTTTCAGTTTACACAGGTGGGTAACAATGCGAAAAACAACGCGATGACCTGACCAAAATCGCATTTTACATTTTAGCAGAATACACAAAATAACAAGAAACACATTTTTAGTTTATATAGGTGGGGGACAATTCATAATCAAATATTAGCAAACATCCACGTAAGGTAAAAATCGCGCGTAAGCCTGACCAAAATCGCAGTTGACATTTAGAAAATAATTGATCAAACCATCCCACCCCCTTCGAATAATATCAACTAAAATACCTAAACGCATGATAACATTTTAGCAAAATACACAAAAACAGTAAAAACAATAAACACATTTTTAGTGGGAGACAATTCGAAAAACGACGCGCTTCAACATCAAATACAACTATTTTAGCAGAAATCACACAAGAGAAACCGGAAACACAAATTCCAAGTATGCATATTGGCAAAATCAACAAATTGAGTTAGTTGGTTGGAGACGTTATAGGACTTTAATATGCATGTACAAGTGCAGTGTGTTGCACAAAATCCTCAGGACCGTCGCGCAGCGAGATAAAATAAAAATCGAACGTAACGTCAACAAGCATTCAATGAATACCCTGAATGCATTCAAACAAAACTCACATGCATACACTGATTGGCAGACGTCAGATAAAAAGAGGAATTCAAATAACACGGTTCGAAATATATCAGCACAAGAATAAATTACATTACCAACAAGCACCGCCATTGTCCGCGTCCTGACCATGTTGATTTTCCCTCTAAAATGAGAGCGCATTCAATACAAATCACATGATCACGTGATATGTAGTTCATGTAAAGCGGGAAAATGCCAAAAAGTTGATTGTGTGACAAAAGACATACAATTAAAAACAGTTCACGTTTCGGCCTTTTCCGCCGTACTACGGGCAAAACATGGTCGGCAAAACATACGTGGTAAGATATTAAACAACTCGGCTTTCTCCGACAAAACTTCGTAAACAGATTTATTGAAATCGCCTGAGGTATTTCGAATAACTTACCCAACACAAAAGATTACATGTATATACTATTATATGTTGTGATTTGACAATATTTTTTCCGTTATAACTTTGAATGAAGCAAAAGGGACTTTACATGTAACATATTAAATACATTTCTTAAAATAAAATGGTCATTACAGATAAAACTAGAACTGTGTCCAAAGGACACGGATGTCCACACTGACAACATATATATAGTATATAGTGAAAAAATCAACAAAGGGCCATAATTCTGTTAAATTTGGTCTCAGCAAAAATTCCTTCCTTTACTTCCATCTACACATTAAGGTTGTTCATCCCTGGAAGTTTAAGCAAAATCTGCAATCCGGTTTAAGAGGAGTTGCATTCACAAAAATGGTATATAGTGAAAAAAATCAACAAAGGGCCACAATTCTGTTAAATTTGGTCGCAACAAAAAGTCCTTCCTCTAATACCATTTACACATTAAGGTTGTTCATTCTGGAAGTTTAAGCAAAATCTGCCATCCGGTTTAAGAGGAGTTGCGTTCACAAAATTTCTATATGGTATATAGTGAAAAAACAACAAAGGGCCATAATTCTGTTAAATTTGGTCGCAGCAAAAAATCCTTCCTTTACTACCATCTACACATTAAGGTTGTTCATCCCTGGAAGTTTAAGCAAAATCTGCCATCCGGTTTAAGAGGAGTTGCGTTCACAAGATTTCGGGACGTACGGACAGACGGACGGACGGACGGAGACTATTTCTATATCCTCCGCCGAAAATTTTAGGCGGGGGATAACAATAAAGTACTGTATTCATTCGTTGCTGGGGCGAAACCGGCATCAAATGTGCATTAAATGGCATTATTTATATGATTACATACCAATGTAAGTTTATTTATAATAGTCAACAAAATATTTTTTTCCTCCTGATTATATTACGCAGAACAAAAATTTCGTGAAAGGCGACTTAACATTGTTCTGTTGCAATCTACGAATGGATGATGCATTAATAATTAGTTTTTCCGTTAGCATACAGCGGAAATTCGGTTGCCCTATCTGCGACCCCCTCCCCCACCAATAAAAAAATCAAAAATGAATGTTTGTTGTTAGAAAACCAGTGGGGTTATATGTATGGATAGACAGCTTCACGAGATTTCCTCTCCGACAAATGAAAAAAAAATCCAAGCTAACTACATTTTTTATCAGATTTATACAGATCAGCTTTGTTTGAAAGCACCATTTACAAAAACGAATAAAATATATATCGCCGTCATTCTGTGTGTGTTTGTATCCTACCAAGGGTAAAACGGTCGTTTTGTTATATATATCTAAGTCCAGCAATTTCGGCATTGGTCATTATTTACATATTAATTACCTCAAAAATTTTGTACGACTCGCTTGTTTAATATAGCAACCGTTGAACAAATACAGTGAAATGAATTCGGATTTTGATCCGATCTGGCTGTTTAAGTCATTATAACTAAATATTCTGATGGATAGCGGTTCGTCCTTTTATAAACCGAGCTTAGACAACAAAAACGGCAGTTAATTGTGTACTGGCCATAACCCATAGCTTACGCAGAAGCGCTCGTCGCAGAAGCGGTGGATGAAAAATGGCCGTTTGCTGCTGCCGGCAAGTTTTAATGTTTTAATGTTTATCTGAAACACTTAGTGAGACGGGAGCCCACATGCGCACTCTTACAACGTATTACACACACATTTATGCAAACACTTCTGCACTGTTCTGACAAGGAGACGCCACTGTTGTCTCATTTTGGGGATACACGTACACATGCAAAAGGACCCTCATGACATTGTATGTATGCTACTTGCAAAAAAAACACTATATTTTTGGAACTTTTGGAAATTGATATTGCCTTTTTAATAAAAGAATTGACAAAAAAATGAATACAACGCAGACGGCGGTGGATTCGATTGCAACGCAGTGCGGTGGGCCCGATACCATTAATATCTGTTTTTAGGGTTTAACTTGATATAACGCACTTCTCAATTAAGCACAACCTTTTTCTTATTTTGAGATCAGAGAAACGTGTTTATTTGGTGTTTATAACAAATATGTCCGCTTCCGTTTCCCTTCTATTGAAAATTCCTTTGGTCGGTAGTATCATACATCTAGAATATTCCGCGTTCAACTGGGACTTAAGAAGGCCGTTGGTTCCAGGTTTGGCAATGTTTTTGCATACACACATATTAAAGAGATACTCGTCAAGATTAACAGAACATGCTTCTTGAATACGAAGAACAATCTCTGTTTAGAATGTCTCTGTTTTATTTTATCATACTGAGAATACCAAATTATATAAATTTTATTTTTACAGCGGAAGTGGAAAGTGAAAAGGAAAGTTTTTTCATACATATGTATAAGTTATCTGCCCCTGGAATAACCCTAAATAAGAAACAAGAGGGCCCAGAGGGCCCTGGATGGATCGCTCACCTGAGAAATAAGTCAAAAAGTTTAAGTGGAGACCTTTCACCCCAGAAGAAAAAGTGAAAATTAAAACATCACGAAAAATACAGGATTTACAGGACATATAAGGAAAATCAATGATTTCTTGGGTGGCGCCAATTTTGATCCTAGGGGTTTTATTTCATCAAACATGGTAGACATCCGCTAGAACATGTTTCATGCCAAATATCTATGCTCTACCTCTTTTGGATTTTCACAAGAAGATTTTTTAAGTTTTTACTATATACATTTAAAGGGAAAGGTTATTTAAAGTTATTTATTGACATTTAAATCAATATTTTGTATATAAACTCGCTAAAATTGTTCAATTTATTTTCCTAAACATCTAATATTCTACAAAAAGTCCACTATACGATTACGGGGCATTGCCTAGGCGGGCATTCGAACCACATACATTTCCCTATACATGTACATTGAAAAGTACATCATACAAAACCCCGTCTACCACAATTATATCTTGTGAGCTACTGATGAGTTTATTCAGCGTATTAAATAAATTTAGAAATAAATCTGTTTTAAAGGCACATTATTTATGCAGAAATGCGTAATAACTTTTTAATTCTTTAGAAATGTCAAACATGTATTTAATAATGTTTTAGTAATGTGTTAAGAACATGTAAAATGTCTTACATCTTAAGAAAGTAACGCTTAACAGTAATGTGTCGTAAAGGTTGCAAAAGAAAGTTAAAAAATATTTTTACTTCCATACAAAATACTTATTTTCTATAATTATGTGAATTTCCCACAGTGCAAAATTAGTAAGAGAGTTGATGAATATGGATTATCAGTATTTTATTGAAAACTGTTTTACAAGAAACAAAACACCCCCCCCCCAAAAAAAAAACAAAAAAAAAAACAACAAAAAAAAGGTCAGCATTAGTGACCATGACTTATGAGCCCATGGCACAAAAATCAATTTAAGTCATATACTGTCCAAGACCAATGCATCTTTGAAGTTTTAGGGTAATGAAAATATATGTTCTCAAGTTATTGATCAGAGACAATGTGTTACGACCGACCGACACCATATTGCAAAACAATATGCCCCTCCTAAATAAACATATGACCAATGTTAAACTTTCTGGACGGTAACGGTACGGGAAACAACGACAAGACTGAAGCAATAGCAATAGTTCGGAAAGTGAGGAAACTTATCAAAATGTTTTCTTTTATATTTTATATAATGCCAATCACATAAACTTAAATTATGCTTCAATGTTTTAAATTTATAAAGCAGTTCACGAACTGTCTTATTCAAACGGAGCCTGGAAATTGCTGTCATTTTCTGTGGTATTTCGCAGACCCTCTTCTCTTCTCTTAGCACAACTTATCTATTTTTAAGTATGTCACTTATCATGATAGCTATATGATAAATTGCTGCATTCTTTAATACTGGTTTAGATAATAACGATTTTGCAAAATAGGAAAACGCCAATTTCCTGTCACCTGATACGTACATCAAATAGCCAAATAGGTTCAAATGTACGTAATGCATCATATGAAAATTTTCATTAGGTCTTGACAAAGCCATTTTGAAGACGACCTGTATTGAATCCCTTTCTACATGAAGTCCCAGTTTATAGGCAGACAAGTATAATAAATACCAACTTAGAAAAAGTGGGTTACATTTAATGGAATTTCTAGGTCCTAGTAAATAAAACTGAAGTTTGAAAGGATGTGGAATATTGTCACGTGCCTGCCAATTTATTACGAAGTCCATTAGTAAATTGTGTCGACCTGGAGGTGATGGTAAACTTGGAAGATATTCTTTTGTCCCTGATTTTAAACAAATTCTTGAGCATAGAATTACAAAGGTACGCGTTATGTAATATTTCTCTGACTTATCTTGTAATTTTGGTAACAGGCAAGTCCTTACTTCAGAAAACCTCCCGTATTCCGAGTATATTATTGCACATGTTAGTGGCACTGTCAAGTAATCAAAATCCTTTAATCTAAGCATTTTAGTGATATATTCGTCAATTTCCCTTTGTGTTCGATGACACTCTCTGAGCTCTGAAGTGGTGAATGCCAGACGTATACAGGGCAAAATTTCTTCGCCGTCTTTTCCAAAAGTTTTTTTTATGCCTTTACAAACTGATTCACAATCATTAAAATGATGGCTGACGAACAGTAATGCATTTAAACATCTTTTTGAATATTCTATAAGAGAACGAGATTTTTCAAGGGAAATGTATTTTTGAAGTCTGATGTTATTTGGAAGCACAACAACTATATGTTGGTACATAAAATTTGACAATGTGTTAACTTTAATGTTTAGGTTTTTGAGAACTGCTTTTATTATCTTTGTCGCCTTCCTTTTTTCAGTACGACTTTTATCGAGGAAAAGATTATTTTCTGGTATAATATAATGAGACATAAAACCTTGTTTAACATATTTGGCTAACTTTAGAAGACCCATTTGCACACAATCTACCAATAACTCACTTCTCCAATCCGTTTCAGGACATTCTTCGCAAAGCCAAAGTGCAACATTTTTAATATGATAAGACGATATAATGTCTTTCAAATATTGTTTCTTAAGAGCCTTCAGTAGAACAAAACATTTGAACTGTGTATCATTCATGCTCCATATCAGATGTCTTTCAATTTCTGTGAATGAAAGCCTCCATTCCATGTCTTGATCTTTAGAAGATTTGCTACCAACCGGAACAACGTAGCAAGAGACGTTACTGTCTAATGATTCTAAAGTCATTTTGCTCGGCCAATTGTTCTTTCTATCACGAGTTCTCCATGCAATTGCTTCGACAGGCCATTGGTTTATTTTCAAACATTTGACTGTGTCTACATTAGCACAAGTCGTCGCTGGTCCATTACTTGTAAATGTCGATTCTATTTGTTTTTCAAGAATATATCCAAATGGGAGTATTTTCTCACGAAAAAGTTTACTCGAGATAAAACACCCATTATCGTCCCTCTTAATTAGTGCAAAAAAGTCTACTCTATTAATTAAAAAATCTAGAACTTTCCGAGTGAGCACTTCAAGCAAGTACAAGTCATTATCGTTGACTTTTAATCTACAATATCCCGAACTGCATCCATTTCTTGAAATATAAATTGGTGTAAAATATGCATTTTGTGGCCAAACACGATAACTACCACTGCTTTCCATATCTTTCGTAACACTTAATCCTTCCACTACTTCCATAACATCAGAGTCACTTCCGTCTAAACCGGACCCTTCTGACAAGCCGCCACTAGTAATAGACTTCCTTAAAAAACGTTCTTCAAGAAATTCCCCCATTAACTGTGTTCTCTGGTTCATGTTTCTAACACATACACTATAACCATGTCTATCTAGTCTTCTGTTTAGTTTGATGGTATCCATGACAATCAGTTATTACGGATAATTTAAGATACAAAAGATATGTAAATAAAAATCGCCTTCCTTTTTTCTCTGCCAATCTTTAAAAAGCAGTATAAAATACAAGCGTTAAAATATTAATATAATTGGTTTTTACTTCACTTAAAATGCTGTTCGTACAAGTTTGTATCGGCTTTAAACCTGACAGACACATAATAAATGTATGGAAAGAATAATTGCTTCAACTTGACAACTATTATTAGTTATTTGTGAACGCGATCGGGTATAGAAAATTTAAAATTTGAGAAAAGGTGCTCTGAGGTTACAATTAAGTAAATATCAATATGAATAGCATGTAAGAAATATCAAGTCTTATGTCTACAACAAAAATAACTTGTTTTCATTAACAATGATCACAGGACCTTGAAATTCTATCAATAAAATTTAGATATAGGTATGGATTTATTTTAATCGGACTTTTAATCAGCTATTTATTGAAAATTCAAGGTCCTGTGCAATGATTGAAGGTACAAAAATTGGACATGTACATGTATGTTGTATAATAATAATAATTTGTGTGTTATTTTATTACCAAGTTGACTTCCTTCACAAAATAGTGATATAGCACAAACACGTGTATACTCTACATGATGTAAATTTATTTTCCTAAAATCCCGAACATCGAGACGCTGTCAGATATGTTACGTACTAAGCATGCGCAATAAGTAAATATTTATATAAAATAGTTAATAATTGATATTATATCACTGATTTCAATTTTCATGTTTATTTGTTTTATAATATACGAGGTCGAATATTTCATCTTTTGCATTTGTATGTTTATATCTAGGAGTATAAATAGGTTGAATATTTCAGCCATTTAATATAACTTTGCTTTAGCTAACATAAGATTATATAAACAGAAAGGGTATTGTATTGATCATGAATTGACTACGTATCGAATTACATAAATTTCTTTTCATGTAAATGTGGTACTCTATGTATCGTTATACAAGTTTGATACGGAAATTTAAACTCTCCTTTTGTACATATACTATAACAGTTATTTAGTAAAAATCTTACATCCATACAATTATTTCTCTCGTTTATATTCGACTTTTATCACAACAATCTTCTTTATGTGCTTCCATATACGAACCATAGCTAGCATAGCATACATATATATACAGTATAGTTTATTTAAGTAATCCTTTTCATGATTATATACCCTACTTCATTACTATAACTAACTGTTGTGGCTGCACAGATGAAATTAGTTATACCTTTAAGGCTTATTTCAGAAACTTTCAAATCAAGCGATTGCAGTAGCAAAAAAGAGTAACTTTATTTTTTGTTTCGACGTCATCATTTATTTATTTTGATTAATTCATCCATAATCGTATTTTGTGTCGTACATTTCAGCCAAGTATTCCGCTAGAAGAATGGTGTGTCAAGTTAAGTGTGCTCAACGAAGGTGTTTACAAGGTTCTCTCGCCTTAACAATCACTGGGAGGAGGCTCAAGATAGACATTTTATTTGTTGCCGCTCTGGGTGCATATAATTTCGGAGATAAAGAGGGAACAGAACAAAAACTACATCATTCCGGACGTTTCAAAACTGAATAGGGTTCATCCAGCAGAACTGGAAAGAAAGGAGACTGCGGCAGCTAGGAGGGTGGTCGACCAAATTCTGGTATGTAAAAACAACCAGGTTTGTAGGGACTAGGAGGATTTCGTGAGGGATGACGGGCTTACCAAGAGACTAAAGAAACAATGTTTCAATGGTATCTGTTACATAAAATATAAGAGGAGGTCCTGGATTATGAAGACGACATGGACTTTTAAATGTTTCGATATAGACAGTGTTTCGCGTTATAGGGTTATAGAGACAGTGTCTAGTGTACAGCTAGTGTTTGGCTCTTTTTCTATTCATTAAGATAGTGGTAATCTAATTTCGTATTATATTGTTTTGTATAGGTTAACTATTTAATTATCATCTGAGTATAATTAAGTAAAATATTTTTGAAAATATTTCAAAGACAAACAATGGAGGTTAGTAGTAACCGACGTTTTTTCGGTCAAAAGTTTCCTTGTCAATTTATCGTCCCCCCCAGGGCCGCCAAATCCAAACCGTTTCTTTAGGGAAAACTTTCCGAAAAAAATAACCCCGGTTTCCCCGTTCGGGAAAACCTCTATTATTTTTTGCAATAACAAGAAGAATTTTGGCTGGGGAAAAAAATTTAGTATCCGTGGGAAAAAAATTTGACCCGTCCCACACGGTTTAAGGGCCCCTATTAATAAAACCCACTTTTTTAAAATTTTTTGGGGAAAATTAAAAAACGATTCTAACCCAAAACCCCCTCGAACGTTTTGCCCTTCAAAATGGAATTAAAAAATCCCCCTACATTTCACGGAAAGGTAAAAAATTTAAATTTATTAAACATATAAATTTATTTTTTTGAAATAAAAACCTCCTAAAGTTTTTCCCAATTTTTTCCCCCTTTAACTTTCTAAAAATTCTACAAAAAGCCCCAACTATAACATTACGGGGCATTGCCTAGACGGGCATTCGAACCACATACATTTCCCTATACATGTACATTGAAAAGTACATCACACAAAACCCCGTCTACAACAATAATATCTTGTGAGCTACTGATAAGAATATTTCATTCAGAGTATTAAAAAAATTTAGAAATAAATCTGTTTTAATGGCATATTATTCCTCAGAAATGCATAATAACTTTTTAATTCTTAAGAAATGTCAAACATGTATTTAATAATGTTTTAGTAATGTGTTAAGAACATGTAAAATGTGTAACATCTTAAGAAAGTAACGCTTAACAGTAATGTGTCGTAAAGGTTGCAAATGAAAGATAAAAAAGTGTTTTGACTTCCATACAAAATACTTATTTTCTATAATTATGTGAATTGCCCACAGTGCAGAATTAGTAAGAGAGTTGATGAATATGGATTATCAGTATTTTATTGAAAACTGTAACAAGAAACAAAATAAAAAGATTAAAATAACAACAACAAAAAACAACAACAACAAAAAACAACAAACAAAAAAATGGTCAGCATTGGTGACCATGACTTATGAGCCCGTGACCCCTAAATCAATTGGAGTCATATACACTCTAAATCCAATGCATCATTGAAGTTTTAGGGTAATGAAAATATTTGATTTCAAGTTTTTGATCAGAGACAATGTGGTACGACCGACCCTCACCATATTGCAAAACAATATGCCCATCTTGAAGAAACAATGTTAAACTTTCTGGAGGGTAACGGTACGGGAAACAACGACAAGACTGAAGCAATAGCAATAGTTCGGAAAGTGACAAAACTAATCAAAATGTTTTTTTTTTCTTTTATTTTATATAATGACAATCAAATAACTTGAATTATGCTTCAATGTTTTAAATTTAGTAAGCAGTTCACGAACTGTCTTATTCAAACGGAGCCTGGAAATTGCCGTCATTTTCTGTGGTATTTCGCAGACCCTCTTCTCTTCTCTTAGCACAGCTTATCCATTTTTAAGTAAGTCACTTATCATGATAGCCATATGATAAATTGCTGCATTCTCTAACACTGGGTTAGATAAAAACGATTTTGCAAAATACGAGAATGCCAATTTTATGTCACCTGATACGTACATCAAATAACCAAATAGGTTCAAATGTACGTAATGCATCTTATGACGACATCCATCAGGACTTGACAAAGCATTTTTGAAGACAACCAGTATTGAATCCATTTCTACATGAAGTCCCAGTTTATAGGCAGACAAGTATAATAAATAACAACTTAGAATAAGTGGGTTACATCTAATGTTTTCCATAGATCCTAGTAAATAAACCTGAAGTTTTAAAGGATGTGGAATATTGTCACGTTCATGCCAATTTAAATTGAAATCCGTCAGTAAATTGTGCCGACCTATAGAAGATGGTAGACTAGGAAGATATTCTTTAATTGTCCCTGATTTTAAACAAATTGTTGAGCATGGAAATAAATTGCAAGGTGTTATGTTATATTTATCTGACTTATCTTCTAATTTTGGTAACAGGTGATTCCTTACTTCAGAAAACATTTCGTATTCCGAGTATATTATTGCACATGTTAGAGGAACCGTCAAGTAATCAAACTCCTTTAATTTAAGTATTTTAGTGATATATTTGTCAATTTCCCAGTCTGTTTGATGACACTCTCTGAGCTCTAAAGTGGTAAATGCCAGACGTATACAGGGCGAAATTTCCTCGCCGTCTTTTCCAAAATCTTTTTTCTATGTCTTTACAAACTGATTCACAATCGAAATTAAGATTAAAATTAAACGCCAATGGAATACAACATCTTTTGAATATTCTATAAGAGAATGAGATTGTTCAAGGGAATTGTATTTTTGAAGTCTTATTATGTTATCGCTGTACAATGAAGCAATCTGACTTTCTACATCTTGGTAAAGCAAATTTGTCAATGAGTTTACTTTAATGTCTAGGTTTTCGAGAACAGCATTTATTAACTTTGTCGCTTCCTCTATTTCAGTATGACTTTTATCGAAGAAAAGATTATTTTCTGGTATGATATAATGAGGCAGAAAACCTTGTTCAACGTATTCGGCTAACTTATGAAGACCGTTTCTCACACAATCTACCAATAACTCACTTCTCCAATCAGTTTCAGGACATTCTTCGCAAAGCCAAAGTGCAACATTTTTAATATGATAAGACGATATAATGTCTTTCAAGTACTGGTTATTCAGTGCCTTTAGTAGAACAAAACATTTAAACTGTGTATCATTCATGCTCCATATCAGATGTCTTTCAATTTCAGAGAATGAAATCCTCCATTCCATGTCTTGGTCTCTAGAAGATTTACTACCAACAGGAACAACATAGCAAGAGACGTCTCTGTCTAATGAATCTAAGGTCACTTTGCTCGGCCAGTTGTTCGTTCTCTTACGTGTTCTCCATGTAATTGCTTCGGTAGGCCATTGGTTTATTTTTAAACATTTGACTGTGTCTACATTAGCATAAGTCGTCGCTGGTCCATTACTTGCAAATGTTGATTCTTTTTGTTTTCCAAAATTATATCCAGTTGGGAGTATATTCTCATGAAAAAGTTTACTCAAGATATAACACGCATTATTATTCCTCTTAATTAGTTCAGAAATATCTACTTTATTCATGGATAGATCTGGAACTGTCCAAGTGGGCTCTTTAAACACATAAAAGTCATTATTATTGACTTTCAATCTACAATATCCAAACCTGCATCCATTTCTTGAAATATAAATAGGTGTTGGATATACAAAACTACCATTGTGTTCATTGTCCTCATTAACAGTTAATCCTTCCACTACTTCCATAACATCAGTGTCACTTCCATCTAAAAGGGACCCTTCTGATACGCTTCCACTGTTAATTACTTTCCCACAGAAACGTTCTAAGAGATATTCTACCATTAAATAACTTCTCTGGATCATGTTTCTAACACATACACTATAACCAAGTATGTCTAGTCTTCTACTTAGTTTGTTAATATCCATGGCAATTAGTATCAACTGATATCGCTAGTTAAGATTTAATATACGAAAGATATGTTTATAAAAAATGTCTTCCTTTATTCTACCAATCTTTAATAGGCAGTTAAATATACAAACGTTAAATATTGATTTAATAGGTTTTTACTTCACTTTAAATGCTGTTCGTACAACCGTATCGGCTCTAAACCTGACAGATACATTAGAATAATAGCTTTAACTAAATCTCTTAACTACGGTTAGTCAAAAATGTAAAATGTATTTGTGAACACGAAATATCATCCGCGATCAGGTATTGAATACGAATCGTAAAATTTGAGAGTATATATATATCAGCGTGTAATATAACGTCTACAACAATCAAAGCACAGAAGGCGCTGAATTTGTTTGGGTCTCAGAAAGTTGAAGGTTGTGAGATTATAAACCAATTTGTTTTTGTATAGTGTCACCAATGCTGTTTCTAGTGTTATAACTGTAACAGGGTGAGAAAAATGTGCAGCCTGACAGGGACTCGAACCCGGGACCCTCGGAATACCGTACCGCGGTTCTACACATCTTCTCCCCTAAATAGTGAACAGTTCTGAACCGTGACATACTCCTCTGCTATATTGAAATTCGTCCTGGAATTTCACAGAGTTGCAGAGCAATGTAAATTAAACTCTGAGCTATATCAGTCACGGTCCACGGTTGGGCGCCAATGGTTACAGGATGCGAAAATTGTGTAGCCTGACAGGGACTCGAACCCGGGACCCTTGGAATACCGTACCGCGTCTCTACCGACTGAGCTATCCGACCGCTTACACATCTTCTCCCCTAAATAGTGAACAGTTCTGAACCGTGACATAACTACAGTAAATTGGCTTATAAGACTTATTGCAACACTGATATTCAATTCAATGTTTATTTGGTTTAAACAATTATAAAAAAAAAACAACAATAAAAAAAACTATAAAATACAAAAAAAAAAAAAAAAAACAAAAAAAAAAAAAGCATGAGTAGCCTTAAGTGGGATTGGAACTCCAGACCTCTCGCTTCCTAAGCCCCTCGACCACGGGGCGTTATAAGGTAACAGTCTGGAGAAAACCACATTATTCTAAATTAGGGTTTGTAACCCTTATTAATTTTGATATATTTTGTTCACGGTAAACCTGTTGTAAATAATCATGAAGCTTATTATAAGCATGTATATCTATAAAGTATAACATAATATTAGAAATCTTCGACCAATCGGAAACTATTTTTTCTTCCCCGAGAATGCTTAAAAATTAATGCGCCTGTCATTTGACAAACTTTACGGCGTTAGTGTACATAGAAAGGGAAGTAACCGCTTCGAGGAGTTTGGACTACTTTCGGTAGTTGCAAATAAGCACACCAGGGTCTGGAATTTCGCTACCGTTATTCGTTTGGTCTGACGGCCCAAACAAATAAAGACAAATTTGTGATTCCACAGTTTTCATTAACTCTGATTGTTACCAAAATTGAACATGTTTACCTGCATATACATGTAATATAGAAAATATTGAAAAAATTAGCAATAATGAACTATCATTTGTTATTGATGACCAGTTATTTTTAGAAACTGTGTTGATGGAAATAAGAGGAAAAACTATTTCTTATGCAAGTTTTAAGAAGAAAAGCAAATCTAGAGAGAATGATTTGATATCACAGATTATAGATCTAGTTTTTTTAGAAAAAAATACAAATGATGCTGGAAATGTTAGATTATTAAACTTGCAAAAAGAATTGGAAACTATAAGACAAGAAAAAATTAAAGGTAATTTCATACGCTCTAGAGCAGAATGGATTGATAATGATGAAACACCAACTAAATACTTTTGTAATCTTGACAAATATAGACAGTTCTATGCTTCGAACGCCTTTCCTTTTTAGGAAAAAACTAATGGTGCCATTATATATGAGCAGTCAGAAATTTTAAAAGAAAGTGAAATATTTTATGAAACACTTTATACAAAAACTTATTCTTCTGCTGATTTTAATATTGAAGAGTTCTTAGGCAACATAACAAGAAACACACTGACATTAACAAAAGTTATCATAAGAACCCTGTGACATCTCGAGAGTTATCATAAGAACTCCAGAACATTTGAAAAATTGGATATAAATGTGTTAGCCGGTGCTTTATGTTTGCAATTTTGCATTATAATTAGGTAGTTATGAATGGCAAGGATGAAGACCAGAAATAAACAGGTCAATACTTGTGAATTGGCAAATAATTTGGAAATTTTACTCAAAACTACCACTTCTTATGATAACTTTTGTTACTGCCAGTGTGATTCTTGTGCTTAATTAAGGCATATTTAAGCGTATTTTATTAGTTAATATGTGTTTAAATCATCATGAAGCGTAATACGCTCAGCTTTAACACAAAAATTGGATATATGATGTTGCTTTTGAGCGTGTTTTAGTTCAAAAGATATTTTTCTAATTAAATTTGTGCAAATTCATATTAACATTATAAAACCGAACGAAATCACTAATTGTTTCTGTGTATTACGGAAGCCCATTGTATTGAGGCCGTTTTGAGTTAGAAGTTAGAACTAAGATGTTAGATCTTAGAACTTAGATGTTAGAACTTTGGTCTTAGCTCTTAGAACTTAGAGGCTCCGTAAAGGCGGGAAAATGCCATATTAATTGCAAAATGGACAAGAAATGTTAGTTAGATTTATAAACTTTTTATTATATTTCTATAATTTTATCTTAATTCAAATTATTGCATAGATATATTACATGCTAATACATTAAAAGATTAAGTGATTTTATCTTAATATATAAGACAGTGGCGTACCTCAGCTTTATTTGAGTATACGCCAAGTAGAAGGGTTGCCATAGACTTATACCAAATATAGCTCTAGCTAGCTGTGCAGTGGTATACCGGGGATATAGGGGATATCTTAGCGATAAAATGTCATTTAATTGTACTACTATTGTCTTTATCACAATAACATCAAGTACATGTATTGGATGTAAGATAGATAGATAGATTCTTTTATTTCCTCCAATTATGGAGAGCAGAATTGCACAAAGTCTAACGTGTACATTGTTTTAAATAGTTCAAAACTTATTTACTACTAGAAAACCCGAACATAGCCAGGTGTCTCCAATTTAATCAAGATGGGCTTTATTGCTTTTGAACAAGATTTTTTCTTTGTTATTTTTCTTTTGTTTTTTGAGATATAATCAAGAAAAATATGTTTTAAAATTATCTGTATAAGAATAGTACAAACCCAACACCTTAAATGTTTCAGTGTAACAATAGGTTATTGTATTTTCAGCTAAATTGTAGTATCGCGTGATCATTAAGGTGACAATAAGGTCCCATAAAAATATTTTTAAAATGCGTAATATTTCAATTTTAAAGAAAATAATTATTTCTTCTCGCCAACTCGTTACCTAAAGTAGGCGAAAATAAAAGAATTGGGACATGACTATATATTGTTCTCGTTGTATATTTATCTATGTTTCAAGTGTATTGATGAGACTGCGTATGATATGTCATTGTTTGCAGAAGAATGCAATTTATTTCTATACTCAATCAAATAAGACAGTAAAAATAACTTATATAGAGAATATTTGTTTGTTTGTGTGTAAGATAAAATTTTATTATCGACTGAGCTTTAAAAACAGTATTCTCACGTGTGGCGTAGCCACTAGTGAGAATACTGTTTCAAAGTTCACGAGATGAAATAAAATTGCATCTTACACAACAAACAAACAAATTTTGTCTTTTTATTTTATGCTGAAAAACAAGTTAAAACCAAATTTCCTTGATATTTACTTTAATATTAAAATCTGTTTTCCCCACTGGTAGCCTCTATTATGTACATGTATTACAATCTCCTACGCAGTGATCTCCCCTTATCAATACAGAGATATCTGCCATCACAAACATTTAAATATCAATATTTTGATACTTTATATTTTTAAGCTTTTTAATTTATTTTTCATTATTTTGTATACTTTATAATTTTTTGATAAAATATAACGGACGTAGGTACGAAAAGTTAAAAATAAATCAGAAAGAGAAAAATGACGTTAGATTTTCTATCTAACGGTCGATTTGAATTTCGACGTTACGTCATGTGACTTTCATCATCATGTGTCGTCTGTGAAGGCAGTGATTACAATACTGCCAAGTGAGGTAATCACTGTGAGGAGTTTGCATGAATTAGTCGAGTTCTCATAAAATACTAGAAGTTTTGGGCTGAAAAATAAGTTCGATAACCAACGTTAAATAGCGTATATATTGTTCATTTTATTAAAAAAAATATGAATTATCGCTTGTTTTAATAATAAAAACAAACAAATCTAGTAGAAGAAAATGTCCAACCATCCATCCATCCATCCATATTTCTGTAACTTATTGCGAATTTATATTAGACCTGGCTCTGTTAAATGTAAGCGGCCGCCATTTTTAAAGATGTGTATTTCACGGGAGAAAAATAATCGTGTTTGATTCAGAGGGGTATCATTTGGATTTGTTAGTCATACACCTTTTTAAAAGAAAGAAAACTAATTTGATGATTGTAACAGACAATATATAAGTGTTGACAGATGTGTAAACATTAAAAAACGGCTAGGAACTTTGAAAC